CAACCAATAAAACTAATGTAATATACAAAATACCATGCAAGGACTGCAAGAAACATTGCATTGGCCAAACTGGAAGAAAACTGGCAACAAGGATACAGGAACACCAACTAGCCACCAAAATACACAACCAACTCTCACTGGTCTCAATACACATGGAGAAGGAAGGACATGAATTTGTGTATGTTGGTGGCTAGTTGGTGTTCCTGTATCCTTGTTGCCAGTTTTCTTCCAGTTTGGCCAATGCAATGTTTCTCGCAGTCCTTGCATGGTATTTTGTATATTACATTAGTTTTATTGGTTGCGGGTATGGGATCCTTTACGTTCGTCAGTAGCTGTTGCAGGGTGACCGTTGGTTTTGTGGCTACCGTGATATCTAGGGGTCTGAACAGTTGTGGTCATCTCTGATATGTCCCTGATGTACGGTAGGGTGACTGGTGTGTCTTGCTGTGGTCTGTTGCAGAGATAACAGCAGATTGTGCTTTTTTATTTCAAATATCACTGCAACAGATCACCCTGCAACAGCTACTGATGAACGTAAAGGATCCCATACCTGCAACCAATAAAACTAATGTAATATACAATACACAACCAATTCTCACTGGTCTCAATACACACGGAGAAGGAAGGACATGAATTTGACTGGACAACACATCTACAATAGTACAAGCCTAACAGAGACATACCAGGGAATTCCTGGAGGCCTGGCATTCCAACTGGAACTCCATCAAAAAACACACTGAACTGGAAGCGATATACAAACCACTGAACAAAAAAAAAAACCGGAAGTAATGCCAACCATCCCAGCAAACCAAGGCATATAAATAACAAGCGGGACAGGACACCAATGCTTCATCAGAGACGCATTGATGATGTTACCCAACAGGGTGACAAAACATCTGCAACCAAACACACCGGCTCAGCGAGCAAGTCTGCAACCTCACTCACAACCCGAGCTACAAATCTTCTCAAAAACTTTAAAAACTTTATTTATAGTTCTTTTTCTAACCTCCAGCAGTCATCTAAACTCATTGTTGTTCATTCTTTGACAACTTATAAACAGTCAATTTCCTTTTCAACTTCAAGGTTTGTTAACAGTGAAGACATTCAATTCAATATGGGAAATTCTTCAGCAAACAAAGGAGTGAGACTGTGAATTACAATCACGATCAGTAATAGGCAGTTCAAAAGAAAATAAAATAAGTGGGCAGAATGAAGATTAAAGGTCTCTAAAAGACATGGGCCTTCTCAACCTTCTTTCATTCAGAAAGAATGTCAAAGAAAAGCAATTACTAAGCAGAATGAAACACGAAAAGAACAGCCATAAAAACAAAAAAAAAAACAAAATTACATAATTCTTACCAAGGATTAAAAGCACAGTACTCTCTCAAAGAAAAGCAATATATTGAAGGGACAGTGGGTGAGGATTTAAATCACTGCAAACATTGAAAAAGCAGATTTAATGATTTCTTTGGAATGTTCGACTGTATTTCAAAAAACTAATTTTCTGAGGGACAAGAAGTGGTTAAGAACGCTTTCTAAAGCCTCTTTCATCTATCTCTATCCTCAATCAATACTATCCTCCTTCCTCAAAACGGTCTCCAACTAAACTGACCAGCATTTTAGGTTGGAGAACACGATACAGTATAAATGGGGGCAAGCTAAAGACTGTGGTTGAGACAACAAAAGTTTCTGAAAGCAGGAGGAACCACTTTTACTCGGCCATCCAACTAACATGTTCCTATTATCCAGACCATGAATCTGCTGTGAGCAGAAACAGTAACCAACTCAATCTGAATAGTTTGGGCAAGCTCTGCTGGTTAAACAGATATGTACACTTACAAGCTTGGGCTGAATTAAACTTCATAGCTGCTCATCTATTGTGGAGTGAGGGGAGCCAGCAGACAAGAATTTGGCACATTTTACTTGCTACTGGTGGCCACATCTGAATCAAAACCTTTGGATATTTGAAAAGCATGATCTAGCCATCGGACTTGTAGTTGAGAGATCACTCTGAACAAACATTCCCAAATTATTTTTCCCACTGTACTGAAGAGTGGCAACTGGAATTCCATGGGATATGAGAAGCAAAATCATCCTTTGCTCAATTATAATCTCTTTCAAATCAGGACCTGTTTTTGCTGGACCCAATTGAGAAGCAATCTTTGCTTCATGCTAAGATGGCTCCGGTAGCACATTTAGCAGGTCCTAAGCAAATATCCGCATCAAGTAATTTCCTCATGCCCTGTTCTGCCATAAAGGAAATAAAATTAAATTAGCTCTTCTGTAAAGTTGCCTTTTTTCCTTGAACAAGCCACAAGTCCGATTATCTCACACAATAAATAAGCTGCATTCCACAAAGAGATGGTTTTTCTTGGGTTTATTTCTTTGGTAAAAGAAATCTTCTCCAACAATGAGATAATATCTGAAAGGTCAATGATTCAAAATCAATGCAAAGAATCTAGGAGAGAGAAAGAGATATTTATCAAATTCTCAGGATCTACACCATTCTACCTTAAAAAGGGTTGCGGAATCCAATACGGTAAATAATTTTGAAAGGGAGAGACAAAGTCAGAGTCTTTGATGTGAGAGTTTCCTCAATGTTAATGCAACATTCAGGTGCAGTTTCAATCTCACTGAAATAGGCCAAAACTCAAACGCCAGTCAACGCAGTTGTAAAAAAAGAAGTGCCTACCTTCTGATAGTGCAACGGATTGTCAATGGCGTAGCACAGCGTCGAGATAAAGTTTGGCTTAGTGATCAGCGACGCACACTCCTGAATCAGAAACTGAGTCTGCAAAAACAAAATTACTCTTTTTCAATAAATAGAAATGAAGATAACTCAAGTTAGGGAAGTGGCACCCGTGCTACAGACATGTACACAGTTTCAAACCCAACACATTAAATCTACCAAATGATACAGCCTCTGCAATATAAAGGAATTCACCAAGCAATACTTTGAGTTTATCTGCTTCTGAGAGATGGATTTTGTTTGATATTGTTATACCATGATTACAATCTTGTGTTTAAATGTTTATTTTGTGTAGCAATTAATTGTGAAAAATAGTAAAAGATATGTATCTGAAGCTTCACATGAAGTGATCATAGATCCATCAGAAATAATGTTAGGAGGGGAAAACAATGACAGTAAGGAACAACTTGGCTTGCAAAGACGACTACACAGATTCCAAGAACATCAGGATTTCAGAATACTTTTGAGGAAAGATTATGTAATTTTGGTTAGGACGTAAATATCATTAAAAACTTACCTGTTTAAGCTACTAAAATTGTATTGGTTAACCATTTAAACTTTAACACCTCTGCTTAATCACAATGTATTAACAAGATATTAATAGATTCCTTTAAGCCCCAAATTTTAGATCAATGCAGGGATATTATATCAGGCTTTCAGTCAGAACATGCTGGTTTGATCCTCCAGAAACAGTCCTAACTTTGGCTTTATAAAGGCTTGAAATTTGTATCAATGACAGTTGCATGAAAGTGCGTTTAGAGTGTGATGGCTAGCAGCAGCACTAGTTGGATGCTGTCATCATGGAGTCTTAACAGATTTAAAATACCTGGGAGAACTGGGGGTAGGGTGCCGAAAATAAAGTCCCAAATTCTTAATTGTTTGGCATGAAAACACTTTGGCTGATTGTGAGGTGGGCAAAGATTAATGTCCTCATTAAAAGGTAACAGCCACACTTGGATCCCCCGCGAACTAAAGGCTGAATGGCAATGGTAGATGGTAACACCCCAGGTAAGAGGGTTCCAAAGGATATTTCAGGCCACTCACATCATAAGTAGCTCATTTTCTACTGTTTCATCTGCAGAATAGGGGTGCATACTGCATACTATCAAAACAATTTCACAAAATAAAGGTAACCTACATGATGGCAGTAGTGCAACATGTAGTATTAAACTGTCAAAATTATTCTATTTATCGTTCTAAACTGCAAATTCTTAACTTCAATACATTAATTGAAAAACCACCTATCACTTACTACTTTACATCCCTAATCTTCACTTGTATTCCTGAGGTTAGACAGTTGACTCCATACCAATGAGCCAGGTTCAAGTCCCACCTGATCCAGAGGTATAAAACAACATCTTGAACAGACTGATTAGAAAATAGTGAAATGGCCAACAAGTGATTTAATTACACATGAACAAGAACCAAGACTAGACCACTCATATCTTCAAACCTGTTGCACCATTCAGTGAGATCACAGCTGATCTGATTTTTAACATCAACTCTACATTCCTGCATATCCCCAGTAAGCTTTTGTCCCCTTGGTAATCAAAGGCCCATTTAACTTTACCTTAAAAAATATTTCAAAGATTCTGCATCCATGACCAAAGTCACACTGCTGTCCAACTTCCTGAAGAGTTGTGACTAGACTTGAAGCATTAACTCTGCTTTCTCTCCACAGACCTGAATTTCTCCAGTAACATGTGTTTTTGCTCAGAAAACATTTTCCTCGCCTCTATCTTAAAATTAGTGACCCTTTATTTTTAAACTGTGACCCCTTGCTCTAGATTCTTCCACAAGAGGAAACATTCTTTTGATATCCACCCAGTCAAGTTCCCTCAGCATCTAATGTGTCTCAATAAGTCATCTGGCTGTTTTAAACTCAAGGAGACAGGCATAGCCTTACCCCATAGGGCAATCTGCTCATTTCAGGTTTAGTAAATCCTCGCTGAATGCTTCCGTAAGTAGTGACCAGTGCTAAACATAACACTCCAGATGCTGTCTCCCTTTATAACTGAAGCATAACCTACTTACTCTTGTATTCAGTTCCCCTCACAATAAACTTTCTTGACCACTTGCTGTACCCACAAATCAACCACGTGAGATTCATGCACTAGGTCACACAGACCTCTCTACATCTCAGAGCTCTACAACCCCTCACCGTATAGATAATACGCTTCTTTCCCTGCGAAAATGGACAATTTCACATTTTCTCACATTGTACTCCACTTGACAGATCTCTGCCTATTCAGTTAACCTAAGCAGAACCCTTTGTGGTAAGGAGAGGAGGGGCTGACAAACAGTGTGAATTGTTGAAAATTGTAACACGATTTAATTTGGTAGATCAACTATTTCTTCTAATTGGTGGTTCCAACACAAGGGACAACATGCAGAAAATGATGTGTACTAATATGATCCAAAAAGAACACATCTGTAGTAAGTTTGTGCACCTTGAGGGACTTTGGATCAGAGTTGAGGAGCTGGAGTCTGAGCTGCAGAAGTTGTGCCACGAGGGAAGGGGAAAGTTATCTAGTTGCTCCAGAGGGCAGTCACACCCCTCAGAAGTTAGCTCATATTTGGCCTGAGATCACTGACTGAAGCGTGTGATTGCAGATGAGGCAGGTTGAGCAGCCTCTGCACCTGCAATTGTTCAACAGTTGAGGTTCTTAAAAGTTGGGTGGATAAAAGTGGGGACACCAGGGAGGCTGAGCAAACTGACTTTGCCACCTTTGTACAGGAGCAGAGGGAATATCAGCGGTCGGGGAAAGAAACAACTTGATACTGTTCTCTGCAGCAGTGACAGTAATCTTGAAGGTTGTTCTGCCTCTCTGGTGCCAGAGTTAAGAAGCTGCAGAAATTAGATTGGAATGGGAGGGATCAAGTTGTTGTCATCCATATTGTTGTTGGTACCATTGCCAGGACTAGAAAGGAGGTTCTGCTGTAAGATTTTGAACTGGTAGACGCTAATTAAAATGCAGAGCTTCCAAGGCAATAACTGTGGGATTACTACCTGAGCCACAGGCAAACTGGCATAGGGTAAATAAAACCAGAGTTAAGTGCATTGCTCAAAGATTGGTGTGGGTGAGTAGGTATGAGTTTGTGGGTACTAGTACTAATATTTGGGTACAGAGAGCTATTCCAGCAGAATGGGTTTCATGTGAATCATATAGGGAGCAGTTTCCTGGGCCATCGATGAAGTATGGCTGGACAACAGGCTAGGGGGAGAACAGCAAACACACGTGTGTGACAGAAATAACAACAGCGTAGGCAGCAGAGGAGCAGCAGCAGCTGGGAAGATGCAAAACATAAGCTTACAAAATGGGAAGATATGCCAGCTTTACAGGGTAGCTATTTGGACAACAATACACCGTGAGGCGGGGATGGACAAAGTGCACAAACATACAAAGACAGCAATAAATAGGGCAATGGGCATAGAAATGGTTTAAAAAGGCAATATTATTGGTTTTTAAACTTGAATATGTGTTCTATTTGGAGCAAAATAAGTGAATCAACAACACAAACGGGTTAATGGGCATTATCCTATGAACATTGTGGAAAGTGTTACAAGGAGATCAAAGCTGGGAACTAAATATTTGGGGTTATATGATATTTTGAAAGACAGACAGGAAGCAAAGGGTGGTGGGTAGCTTTGTTAGCATGGGATTGAATAAGTACAGGAGCAAGAAATTTGGATCGGAAGATGTAGCATTCACATGGAGGAGGGTAAGAAGAAAAAAGGACAACACTGATAGTAATAGTCCATATGGCCCCAGAAATAGTTTTATGGCTAGCCAGAGAATAAATTGAAGATAACGAGGGTATGCAGGAAAAGTGATACGTTAATCATGGGTGACTTTAATCATCACGTAGGCCTCATTGAAATGAAGTAATTTAATACAGATAGCATGAAGCACCATCTGATTTTGGGCAACGCTCCAGTCAGATCAGGCACTGTACTCACAAAGATTCCTAGGATTTGGCTTATTCAAGTAAATGCAATAAACATAAATGCCATTTAGTTCCTCACGGAAGCTTATTTTTGTAGCTTGCTGCTTTTTGCTTCATCCATTCATTGGTTCTGCCCAGTCATCTACCTGTTTTAGACACTTCCTACTTTTCTAGGTTACTGCTAATGATTTCAAAACAAAAGAGAAAATCACACTATTGAGTAAGGATGGAAACTTTTTTTGGAGGTTTTGTTTAGAATGTTTTATTTTGATAAATGTAAATGCAAAAGGTTTTGGGTTTAGACGAGCAAGAGTAATGAAGGTACAGACCAAGTGCAAGTCATTTTGCCGGTCCCACATTTTGAGACACTTACTCACTGAACTGTCAAAAGAGAAGCATCTTTCATGAACGACAGATCACCTACAGACATCTGAAACAGTGGCGGCTCTTTCCACAGAAGATTGGAGCCTGAAAGGCACTATTTTCTTCAACAGGAATTTAGATCAGTCACTTGTACCAAATGTTATGTCTGCAAGAGGCAATATGGACTTATTTTTCTCGTGGCAACAGTCTCTTCCAATGCAAACCAAGATAGATGGACATGAGCAAAAAGGAAAGCAATATAAAGTGGAAAATGTCAAGATTTCGGATAGGTTTGAAAGCGAAACAAATTCTGAAAATAAAATTTACAGAACGGGAAAACAGTAGAGTGCAAGTAAAAATGGTAAATGCAGGGTCAAGTGCTGTCTCCTTTCAGTTAAAACTAGAATTTGGTAGCTTTAAATACATATTCTTAGTGACATATTTTCTCTCTTAGTTTACACAGCGAGAGTTGTAGTGAAAAGTGTTGTGCAAATGATTAAATACGTTCAATTCACTTGCAAAGAAACACAGTTTCCACCAGATTTACCTCAGAAAATGCCACAACCTTATTAATTTTTAACATAATGTGGCATGATTCACCCAAAAACTGCCTGTGTACTCAAATTCAAACTTGGCCAGGGAAGGGAGAAGACAGGTTAAAGGTTTCACAATTCTCAGTATTTTAAATCAAGACTGAAGAAAAATGGCTATGAGACATTTTTTTCAATGAC